GCATTTTAGGCTTCATTGAAGCAGAGCAGTGAAAGGATTTTCTATATTTATTGTGTGTGCTTTTCTGTCCCCAGGTTGTATTTGCTTCTGCTCTAAATTTCCACATTTTTGTTTGTCTTAAATCTATTCTTTTAATACTCATTTAACATATTGAACCTAATAATGGAGGCACCTGGATCTATACTTGAGTAAAGACAATGGAATGGAGCTCATAGCTGAAATTTAATTTTATTCCAATCATTTTACAGACAAAGCAGCAAAACTTCCAAGTAAATATAAAAGTTGGCAAACGTACCTACTTAAAACATGCACTTGTATCTATCATGCCAAGAGATGCTTTTCCTTTTAGAATTAAATTTTTAATTAACTATCATGTGTTATATAAAAATAGCGATTAAAAAATGACATGGAAGCCCCCTTTCTACTTCGACTCTGTTATTTTGATACTTATGTAAACTTTATTCTTAGTTTTGAATACTTAACAATTTACAATTCTGTTTGAACTCGGAGAGATATTTTTATAAGTCCATTTAATTTTGGCTAAGTACATACTATATTTTATCAAGTTTTCCTAATCAAATTTTATTTTAAAATGAAATGAACTGATGATTTATTCTCTATGACGTATCATGCTTAGGCAGAGAATGCACTGCGGGGTAGCGTTTCTACAGAAACACTACCTATCATAGATTCACAAGGACTGATGATCACAAGTGATAGAAGGCAACAATGTCTTAATTGTTTCGAAGTACACGTTGTTTTTCTTCCTAAAATGTGATTTCAGTAACTGTTTTAAGGAATATCTTTTCATAATCTTGCAGACTTTTTCAAGTCTGATTAAATAGATTAAATCTGCCCACTTCTAGTCATTGATGGTGGGGGTGTGTGTGTGTGTGTGTGTGTGTGTGTGAAAGGGTTGTACACAATGAGGAGACTTAATGTGTTTTTACAACTTTATTACTTTTCTAAATTTAGTTTTCTGCATTTTTAACTTTTAAGCTATTTTACTGGATTAATTTAAATTTAGATTGTTAAAATAAATTCAGGTTGTTAATTTATAAATACAGGAATTATGCAGGATTGTCCTTAATTGTATATATTGCCTCTTTTCTACTTGTTATAATTCTACTTCTTATTTCTAATTTTACTTATTTGGACATTGTCTTGATTATATTTTTTCAGAAGTTTATTTTATCTTTAATCTTGAAAATATATGCCATATTTTAAAGGAGACATAGTGTGAATGGTGAAAAAAAGAAATATTGTTCCATATAATTTTGTGATTTTGACATCTGAAACTATTAAATGTAAAATTTCCTTTGAGTTATAACTGTAACTATTTCAAATATTAATGTATGCTGAATTCTTTCTTTTCTTTGAAAGGATTCTATCATATTTGATACACTTTGATAGGTTGCTTACTGAGTTTTTTACTTTTGCCATCAGTGAACACAGTCGCTCTTTCTAATATATAAAATCACAGCACAGCAGTTTGGGACATCGAAAGAAATCTACCATAGCTAAATGAAGCCACATAGAGGCTTAGGTAGACTGCATTCCATTACCCAAGATGGAATTTTGCCAGCCTGGCAACCCTAATGTCTGTAATCCTGAAAATTCTCTGTGATCTGGAATTGACTCAATTGGTTGTTTCAAGTTTTCCCTCTCTAAACTTGCTTATTCAGTTCTAAGGTGCCATATTATGATGTTCAAAATTATTCAGAATTAAAATACTTTTTGTTCTCACAAACTATTTGCTACAAAATTCCAAAGCAAATAATGGAGGAATGAGGTATTATTTTTCAGTTTCTAAAGCAGTTCTTCAGGTGAAAATACACCTTGGTGGTTTGAGTCATATTTACCACAAGCTAACAGGACATTTTAGAATATATAAACTTTTTTTTTTATTTTCGAGACAGTCTTGCTCTGTCACCCAGGCTGGAGTGCGGTAGTGCAATCTTGGCTCACTGCAACCTCCACCTCCCAGGTTCAAGCAATTCTTCTGCGTCAGCCTCCTGAGTAGCTGGGATTACAGGCGCCTTATACCATGTCTGTTAATTTTTGTATTTTTAGTAGAGACAGGGTTTCACCATGTTGGCAAGGCTGGTCTCTAAGTCCTAACCTCATGATCTGCACACCTCAGCCTCCCAAAGTACTGGAATTACAGGCATTAGCCACCATGCCCGGCCTATGTAACCTAATGTTTTTAAGTGCGTGAATACTTTCAGAGCAGTAACGTCAATGATATTGATGCGGTTACAGTACAAACACTGTGACTCAGTAGATCACAAAGTGCTGTGGTGGCATTTTCTTCCTGCACGGCTCATGATAGCAAACAGATATGCAGATATTTTATTTTGGAGTAGAAATGGCTGCCAACTTAAACAAAAATCTGATTGCACTGTTGGAGAATTAAATATGCTGGGGGCTCTTATTAGAATAATAGCTAGAAAATGTTAACGAATTACAATTTTGATATAAAGACATAAATAGGCTACTCTTGGTCCACTTTTAACAGATAAATCTGAGATACAGAATACCATTTCCCTCTTATTGACAAGCAGAAGCAAGCAACTTCTCAGTAGACAAGCACAGCCTTAGATGTTTATAACTGATATGAGAAAAGATGAATTATGGCAGAAGTAAGAGTGAGGTTACACAACAAGGAAATGATGACTAAATTTCCATTTTAATCAGGAAATTCCGAGTTGTTGTGTACCCTTGAATTTTTTGCTTGTCCCCAGTTCTTTCCAGGTTCAATTCTTGTTTTAGTTAGCTAGTCAGTTTTATTCAAGCCTTTGCAAAGGGAGTAATAGCAGCAGTGATATAATGCAGAGGATTTCAAACTCTCATTCAAGCAAAAGAAACCTTTTTTCTCCCCTAAATGAAGCTTATTTAAAATGCGATATAAGCCACAGTGAAATAAGAGCCCAAGTCATCCTCTGCTTTGCCTTCCTTCCCTCTCCTTTCAGCAGCCTTTTATGAACCCTGGAAAGGGAATCAGTTGTCCCTAGTTATCAAGAAAACACTGTATTTTGGTTTATTTTAAAGCAGAATCCTTTCTTGCCGCTAATTGCAGTAGTTACATATAGTTTTGAAAAGATTTACACATTATCCTTTATTCACATAGATGATGTGTTGGGAGAGGGTCATACTTTGTAAAATATAGTGTGGCACTGTAGCTAAATGGATATATAGCACATTTTATATGGAATTTATTTACACCATAGCAATTGGCTCTTTGGAAATGTCTGCCTTAGAGTGAATATGAACAGAGAATTTAAATGCCATTTTAGTCTGCACTTCACCTTTACCATTAGAGATTCCTAGTTATGACAAATAGAAGCACCTTGGTAGGTCAGATTGATTGACAGTTGGAGACATAACTACTTAGAACCGTGTCGTCCATATATTCCTCTCTAATGAATAGTATGATGATAACCCACTTAAAACCATCTTATTCCGTGTAACCACTGGAAGTGAGCTTCAGTATGCATTCTACTTTTCGTGATTTAAATGAATTGTATATACCATCATTAAAGAGCACATTTTAATTTTTAGACAGTGAAACATGTTGCTATGATAACGTGTTGCTGAAATAAATTTGCGGTAAAAAAAATCAAAATCAGAATTAATAAATAAAATTGCATCAAGGTTTCAAACTCTAAAATGACATTTTCATTTAGAGTTGTGATGCAGTCTTGGGGTTTGGTATTATCTCATGCATGCTTTCTATTTAGAAATATGGAATAGGAGACAAATTTAATAAACCAATGACCCTAGAATCAAATCCTTTGATGAATGGCATTTGAAATTTATTACATGCTCCTTCTATTTCTTGATCCATATCCACTTCTCTCCTGCCATTTTTAGAGTAATTTCCCCATTTATAGAGCAAATAGAACAGATTTGATTTGGCTTTCTCCTATGTTAAGCGATTTTATTTCAAGACTGATGAGATGTCACTAATCATCAGAGAAATGCAAATCAATACAACAATGAGGTACTGTCTTACACCTGTCAGAATGGCCATTATTAAAATGTAAAAAAAGAAACAAACAAAAAAAAAACAGATGCTGGTGAGGCTGTGGAGAAAAGAGAATGCTTATATACTGTTGATGGGAATGCAAATTAGCTCAGCTACTGTGGAACGCAGTTTGGAGATTTCTCAAAGAACTAAGAGTTGAACTACCATTTGACTCAGCCATTCCATTACTGGATACATACCCCAAAGAAACAAATGATTCTACCCACAAGACATAGGCATTCGTATATTTATTATATCACTAGTCAAAATACCAAAGGCGTGAAATCAGGGTACCTAGGTACCCATCAGCAGTGGACTGGATTAAGAAATTGTGGTACATATACACTATGGAATAGTATGCAGTCATAAAAAAGGACAAAATCGTGTCCTTTGCAACAACATGGATTCAGCTGGAAGCCATTAGCCTAAGCAAATTAATGCAGAAACAGAAAACAAAATACCACGTTTTAACTTATAAGTGAGAGCTAAACATTGGGTACTCAAGGACATGAATGTGGCAACATTAGAAACTGGGGGCTACTAGAGGGGGATTAGAGGCAAGAGCTGAAAAGTAATTACTGAGTCCTGTACTCATTACCAAGTTGAGAAAATCATTGATACCCAAACCTCAGCATCACACGGTATAGCCAGTCAATAAGCCTGTACGCGTGCCCCCTGAATTTAAAGTGAAAGTTTTAAGAAAAATTGTTTTCTTCCCTTGCATGTTGAGAAAGAACTCCTGTCTGCCTTACATTTAGAAAAGACTGTAAACCCCTAGTGGAAATAAAGGCTTCTGTGTATTAATCATCTCAAATATCTAATAAAATGAGACATATATAAACACTAAAGACAGATAAGTTTCTGACAATTTATTCTTAGCTTGAATGGTTTCATTAATTATATATCCAATATTCAAAGGAAGATATGATAATCTGGGAAAACAACATGATGCTTCTTTTAAAAACTCATCTCAATACTTAACCTGGCAGGGGAGATACTGTGATCACAAAGGTGATTTTCCCAGGGTCAGGCTTATCCATTGCACCCCGAATGTGCTGACCCTGTGGTTTCTCCAAATGTGGGAAACTCGACTGCATAGTTTGTGGTAGTGGAGGACTGCGTTCATGCTAAAAAAAAAAAAAAATTCATCTAAATGTTTGGTCCAATGAAAAACATGTCATCAGCTTCATTGAGACTAACCTAATTCTTATAATAATGATATAGACTATAGTGTACCACCTTCTCTAGTCTGGTAATTTTAATTGAAATGGAAATTCTGTGGTAGTATACTCATTTTCTTTACAGTAGATTTTACTCCGTGTGTGCTATAATTTTTTTTCTTACTCTATGAGGAGAAATGTGTGTGTATTTGGACATGATATGGTTTACACATACTCCTTCAAATAAGTAGTTGGAAGTTTGAAAAATTTCCATGTAACACTAAATCCATTATTGGATGGATATTGGTAATACTGCTGTTTTATGAAAAGGATTTTGGCTTATATTAGTATGTTTGATATGTACTTCATGTGGAAAATACTTATTTTTCTTAAATTTGAATTACATTTAGTTACACAATATCATCAGAAATTTAGGTAAGCGTATTAAACATTTTAATGTAGAATATTTGTTGTTTTCTTATAATTTAAGTTTCAAAAGAAAGGCAGGTTCAAAGAATACAGAGACATTATTTATTTTTTACATGAAGGAGATTTCTTGGAGTTTCCTCTTTGTTTATGGAGTTGCCAAGTTTTCCTTTTCTAAAAATTGATCAAGATCTATCTTATGTAAGTTACATTTGGAAGATTAGAAATATGAGAATCTGTTCAGTCCTTTTGGTTGGTTTGGTTTTTGCTTTGCCGTTCAATAAATTGAGAACTCACCATGTTTCAGGGCCTAATTTTGTCCAAATAAGTGTATTAAATCCACTGCTGGAGAGACCAGCGGATGTGAACACTTGATTGAGCCTGTGGGGAACAGCTCCCTGCTGAGCTTTTATAGAAGAACAACTGTTTTAAGAAGAATGGAAAGTAGAACAGACACAAAGTTAAAAGACAAATGTGCAGACTCTTGCTTTTAATGGTATTCAAGGGTTTAGCAAGCCATTAACTTTAGTGCTGTGGAATTGCTGAAAGTAAGAATTAAAAATAAAAACGTGTGGTTATCTAGGGACTAAGTTACTGAGGGATCCAGAAAGACAGTTTGCTATTGGAGGGGACCTCCATGCCTGGAAGATCAGAGTCAAGTGTAAAGAAATGTGGAAATGGTAATTTATTCCCTTTGTAAAACCAGTGGCAAACAATGAGAATAAGTAGGTTGATAAATCATTGGTGTTTAAATGTTTAAGAGGACACATTGTCAATCTTTATAGCCATCTCAAATTTTCATTTATTTAATAAAGAAGATTGTCTTCATAGAAATAAACTATCAGCAGTTATTAAAAGTGAAAAATTGTCAACATTATTGGAGATTTGATTATCAATCACAGGGGGAAATGCCCCATGAAATACCATGTATTATCCCGCAAAGTACCTATTTCTGATACACTCTACATCATGAAGGATGACCAAGCTTGGTGTCTAATTCATCAGTACCTTCTATTTCTTATCTTATGTTTCATTCTCCATTTCTCCCTTGTAAATTTTCAAGCAGCATGGAGAGCCAGAAATCTTATTCTCTTGAAAATGAGATCTAATTCTAATGCTAGGGTTGTGATCAAATTTTCTACTTATTACGTATGCCCTTAGTATTTTTCATTTTAAAATCATGGAAAGAGATCTGGTTTTTCTTTAATGAAAATTAAATTTAAGTCTGCTATTCATAAAGTACAGGAAAAAATCATATCTAGGTTTGATTAGTAAGTGATGAAGGTGACTTATTATAAATCTTTGCTTGCAATTCTTCTTCGTGTAAAAAAAATTGACTTGAAGTCAAGTTATCAGCAAGAATTCAATGCTCCTTACTGTTGTACTGATTTGAAGTTGAGTCCTGGATTGAAGCCACTGATGAAAAAGCTGTTGTACATGGTTCATGATGGAAGGGTGGACTGCAGACAATATGGAAACTTGTATCCAATTATGAAGGTGAATATGAAGTCATGGGACCGAAATGAGGAAAATAGACTTAATTCCTGTTAGGTGTCTGATACATTTATAAACACTAACCCACTTAATCCAAATTAAATGCTTATCAAACACTAAGAGCACAATATCACCTGTGACTCATACAACCTAAAACATAATACTATCATAGTAGTTATGTGAGGTTGAGCAAAATACTTATTCTTATGTTCCTATTTCCTCCTTTGTGAAATAGTAACCATAAGGTTTACATGTGTTACAGGAGTTAATATTTGTAGGGCTTTTAGAAGAATGCCAAACTAATAAGTGATAAGTGTCTCTTAATATTATAAATAGAGGATACAGATCTAATATCACAAAGCACTGCCTCGTATCTTATTACTTTAAAAAGATGCTTGCACTGCATGGTATCTCCACTCAGCAGTGTTTTCCTGCTAGGGTGTTCATAGGTCAGTGCTATAGAAATTCAGTATCTGGCATCATTGGTTTTCTTGGCTTTGTGCTTGTTTAACCTGGTATTTCTATTGATACAATATTTGAAAAAAAAAGATGCTATCCAAGCATATTTTTGAAAGCAAATGTAGTTAATTTAGGACTAATGAGAATCAATAAAATATTTATTTTGAGTAAGATGATATTCGTAAAACTGTTTTCAGCATTACAAATTAATGTATTTGTGATTAACCTGATTATCAGTTACAGCAAGGCATCATATTGATGAAACACTGAAACAAGTGACTTCAGTTGCATTCTTAGATGGTATTTAGTTTGTTGCATGGTATGCCGAGTTTCAGGATATTCAGATACCTGAAGGGCGAGGGAGCTGGGCAGCTTTGCCATAGCATTGTTTTCCAGATATTCTGACTTTGTGCAGATAAAACCCAGGAACTCATGTTAGTAAATATTTGTAAAGATTGAATGAATATCAATGGAGTAGAACATGAAATTAAAAAAAAAAAAAACTATATGAGAAGAGGTTGTAGGTGAATTTCAGAAAGTCTTAAGGCAATAATGCTGGTTAATTTAAACATTAACATATATCGAAGAGTATACCATGGAATAGGCCCAAATAATAAAGCCATATTTATATATCCAGTGGAACAGTCGCCATTTTATAAGTAGCTTCAATTCTGTAAGAAATGTGATATGTTCTACAATGAAATCTTCTTGAATAATGAATATTTAATTTCTGTTTTGTTAAACTCACTTATATCATTCAAAATATTTATTTTCATACATCAGGATTATGTCTTTTTATTTGAAGGCAATTCTTATGTTTTGAGACCTATGCATTATTTCTAAAATGGGACAAGAATGACAACTTCAATTTACTTGAAATATCTTCTACTTTGGATGCTGAATAACTGCTGACATGTGATTTTATAAATAGACTGTTTTAAATATGTAAATGTATGGCTTCGTGGTAGATGGTAATGGAATCTTACTGTTTTATAAGCAACTTCTTTTACCATTTATAATGGAATAGTAAGTAAGCAAAGACTTGTTAAATTTCTTCAGTATATCTGATATTTAGCACATTTGAACATTTATAACTTGCTCCTTTAATTATTCTGTAATATTTTACAGATATAGCTTAAGTTTTTAACTACACATAATTATTTTAATAGCAATAATGTATGAATTGGTATTTTTCTTAGCTATGTAGTAGAATAAAAAAGAGATGGTTTAAGACCTTTAAAGAAAAATTTTATCTAGACTTAATATTCATTTACTTGTACACAAGTAATTACATTTATTAAAATTTTAATTTCAAGCAGTATTGCCTAGATAAGATTAAGTAAACATCTCCTTTTAGTATCTGTTTGTATACTAAACATTATTTGCCTTTACTCTTCATGCAATCTGCATTCAATCATAATTACTTTTTTACATTTAATGCTCACCCATATTGTAATAATACTGCATGTAATCTAAAGTCATATGTCGAACTACTGGAAGATGTAAACTTTTTATTTTACACATAAACTATGCAAGCATTTAAATTAACGGAGTTTCAATTTGACGAGGACTGTGTCTTCATAAAACATTTAAATTAATGTCCCTTGGGATAAACAAGCTTCAGCTACCTTGAAGCAGGTAGCTGAACTAGATAAAAGTTTACATATAATTTGCCAAGTCTAATTAACATTTTTGTGAATATATAGATAATTATTGATGTATAATTACTGACATTCGACTTTAAAATTGCTAAAGTGGTTTCTTATCCATGGAGTTGACTGACACTTGGTGCTGAGCCCAAGCAAACATGATTCATGTTTATAAATGACATGGGCTTAACGTTTGAACGTTTTAAATGTTCAGCATGTATAAGGAAAGGAATTGTATATTTAAAGTTTTCTTCTGGAATCTTCGTGTTGCTTCTGACAGTGACATCATTATTATATAGTCAGACAGTCTTCAATCCCACATATATGTGAGGAAAGAAAGAAAAATAAAGTGTGATAAAAAGAGATTCAGAGAGGGGAAGGACCTCTAATAATAATAATAATGAATGTTGAGTATCTCCTCTAGTGATAATAGTAATATAGGGGAAACACAAATAGAAAAACTAAAAGAACAGACTAGAGGTTAAGTTCCCTGGAGCTGCTCACGCAGATCAGTTCATACTAATTGAATTTTTCATCCAATACTGATTTTACTTTTATTATCAAGTTATAACTTCAGAACATCTTTAAAGTAGATATCTTAATTTTGCTACTTTTAAAAATGTGATCGTTATACAGCAATCATTGCAACAATTTTAAACATGTGGTAGTCTAAATAAAATGTTAGAGTAATTTATCACATTTATCATATTTCTCTAGTTATCATATTATCATAATTTTGCTTTCGTACTGTTAAATCTGTAAAGTATGAGTAGTTTAAGTCAGCTGACCTAAGAATTTAATCTTCTCTAAGATAAGCAATAGTAGCTTTCAGTTGAGTAATGTGTTTTTGTTGTCACTTTCACATAATTTTGAATATAAATGGAAAAAGCCATTTGTAATATATCTGTAGTTGGGCCATTTTTAAATGAAAAAGGTAAATATAT